TGACCCACAATTCTCCGTGCAGACTGTTACTCCCTTTTTCTAGGGTCCGATCAGTTGTCAATGTGTGAGATTAGGGTGCCCTAGAACACACAGGAGCCTTAGGGGCAGGCCATCCCAACTGAATTTGGGGAATAGTGATTGTGTTTTCCAAACCTCAGATTATAAACACGATCTGAAAATCACCAATCTACATGGAAACACTCTAGCACATTGAAAATGGGACAGTCCCAGAAGTTGAGGACATATGTTTGTTGCAGGTGTAAGCTAAGGTGATGTCTGAAGGTGGAAGTGACAGAAACAAACCAACTCCTCTTTTCTAGGCATTTAATCATCTCCACATCTCTGCCCAAGCCAGCTCTGCCAGTTGCTGGACTTAGACCACGCCACAGACAAGGCCAGTAGCCAAGGACTGAGTCTCAGAAGGATGACACAGCGACCCTTTTGTGGAGCTTCTTCCCGTTTCCCCAGCCCATCCTCCTCCTTTCTCCTTGGCTCTGTCCTTGAACCAGAGGTTAAGTAAAGGGCCTCTCTTGCCCCTTCCTGAAGTCCCCTCCTCTACTTTGATACCCTGATGGCTCCATGCAGCACCCAGCCCCTCTGCCCCACTCACCGGCCGACAGCCGTCCTCACAGGGCTTCTGAGAGCACTGGGCCACACGCAGGCCCATCACAGCGTCCTCCATGTCGGTGCAGGTGCACACGTCACAGCCCTCCTCCCAGAACTGGCCCACAGGGTAGATGGTACCTCGGTGGACACACACCTAGAGACACAAGGTTCCCATGAGTGCACTCATGCGGCTCATTTAAACAAGTGGTTAGTAAGCACCTACTGTGTGGAAGCGGTTCTAGGCACTGCAAATGCAGCAATAAATAAGACCAGTGAGGTCTCCGCCCGCCTGGAGAAATGCTTATAAAGTAGGTTTTGTCCTCTTCCCCTCCCTGCCCACCAGCCTTAGAAAAGCTGTCCCCAGTCTACCCTGGAGGTGGCCCCTGTGAGTCCTTCATGGTCCGCAGGCTCGGGCGTAACACCCTGGCTGCCTTGGTCTCATTTCATCACCCTCTTCACTGCGTTTAACTCCTTCCCATGTCACACAAAAATGGTACCCAAATTCTCAGACCCAGTAATGTCCTTGGACTTGGAACTCGTCCACATCTAGCCCTCTGCCCCTTAGGAGTGGACTGAAGGTGAAGGAAGATTGGGCAGGGGCTATGAATGTCTGTCCCCTTGAGCCCACCAATGACAAGGAACTTAACAACCGAAGACTCTGGGGCATAGGGGATGGGATATGTTTGACAGTCAAGGGATCCTAATTGGAAGAACCACAGGCCATGGAAGAGATGCAGGAAATGAGAGTACGAGGTTGTTTGGAACCGGAATATGTAAAGCCTGGGATGTGTGCCATACCCAATGCTCAGACTTTATTTTGTAGGAATGAGATGCTGAGGAAGTTGTTGATCAGGAGACTTAATGACAGTTCTGAAATTAATCTCAAGAATGCCCTCCAAAGCTACACAGAACAGATCTTCACCCTCATTCACATAATAGCAGGACAAGTATTTTTAAATCATTATCCGACATCTGCTCAGTCTTCTAGCTTCTGTATAATAAACTTCCTGAATAAGACCCTTTGTTATTCTATTGAGACGCCTGCCAAAAATGTTACCACCCCATTGAGAAGAATTTAGCAATATCTAGCAAAAGTAGGTGTGTATTTGTCATTTGACCCAGAATCTTCTAAGAATCTTTCCCAAAGACACATGGGCAAAAACACAAAATAACAGAGGCACAAGGCTACATGTTATACATTCTTAGTTATAGCAAAAGACTGAAGCAACACAAACGCCCATCGATAGGGGATTGTTGAAAAAACTAAGGTGCGCCATACAATGGAGCACTGTGCAGCTGTAACAGGGGCTACGGCAGGTCTCGTACCAGAACAAGCTCCATCATCTATTGTTAAATAAAGAAAAAATTAAAACAAAATTTAATATGCCACCCTTTCTGTGATAAATAGAAAGAAATACAAATATGTAAGATTCAACTATATTTTCAAAAAGAAAAAATGGAAAGATGCCAAAAACTAATGAAAATTGTAAATTATGGGGGAAAGCAAGGAACAAGGTGGAGGAAACAGGGATAGAAGAAGTAAGACTTCTGGGAATGTGTCTTGTTCTATAATTTGGCCTTTAGAATCATTTAAGTGTTTTACACAATAAACATATTAAATCAAAAAGGAAATAAAAAGCAACCCCTAAAAATGGAAAACAAATTGAAATGTCTGACTAATGGGATTATCAAGCCAGGGGCACAATCACACAAGGAAAATAATTATTTCAAATGACTTTAAAACCCAGTCTTTCAACACTATATACCTAATGGGTTATATTCTCAGGACAAGAAGAATTGTGAAGAAATTTTAAAACACTTTCAGTAGTCTTAAATTATTAGTAGTGATACTGGTACTGTTATTTTTTAAACTGTTACAGGCATATTGTAAGATAAAGCAAACAAGTAATTATATTATGTTTAGAAACAAAGATTTTCAACTTAGAGTAAAAGTGATGCAAGTAGGGGCCGGCCCGGTGGCGCACTGGATAGTGCGCCGCTTGGGAAGCGCGCGGCGCTCCCGCC